AGGATGTATATAGAAATTTTCAATGGGTACCTCCAAAGGGATGTTGGAAGAGATGTGGAATTCATCATGGATCTAACCATGTCCAACAAGGTTCTATTTCTCCTTTCAGAGACACCTTTCAATTGAGGTGTTCTTGGAAGAGTCCACTATGACTGAATTCTTTGATTCTTTAAGTAATTTAGAAACTCCTTACTCAAGTATTCACCTCCACGATCAGATCGTAGAATCTCTATACTCTTGTCAAGTTGCATCTCTACCTCTGCTTTATACTCCATGGATTTCTCAAAAGCTTCCCATTTGCGTTTCATAAGATACACAAATCTAAACCTAGAGAAATCCTCAATAAATGTGATGAAGTAAGAAAACCCTCCTCTAGCTTGAGTTGGGAATGGTCCACACACATATGTGTGAATCGACTCAAGCACTTCTTTGGCGCACATTCCTTTTCCAAGAAAAGGTTTATTGTTCATTTTAGTTGAGAGACAAGAATCGGAATTACCATATCATTCAAAATAAAATGATGTTAAGAAATTTTATTTACTTAACCTTTCTATTCTTGGTTTATTAATATGGCCAAATCTGCAATGTCAACGATAGGTGATGTTTTCTGATTACTTAAACTTGCTCTTTTATTTTGTACATTTGCTATGTCATGTCTTTAAGTAAGAACATATAAATCATTCATAAGAGGAGCATTTCCTTACACAATACCATTTTGTGAAAAGCAACAAGTGTTATTAGCAAAATGGAAGGAAAAGCCCTCAATGTCTAACATAGGAATGTCTAATATATAAGTCCCTACACGCTCAACATCAATTTTCTCCATTTCCTACACGTAGGTCAATTTCACCAGCCTAAATGCTCTATTGTCACTTAGACCTTGCACATTATTGCAAATGTGCGAGTCACAAGTTGTATCTAATACCCAACAATGAGAGTTAGTTTTGACATATTTATATATGTTAAGATCCGGGATTGCATCCTAAAAGGTCAACCTAATAGGAGGAGTAACCCAGATCCTTATATAATGTTTTATTATTTTATAACTTTCCGGTGTGAGACAAATACTTTAACGCGCCCCCTCAGCCCGAACCGCGTTGGACAATATCGGGGTATATAAACGAGTCTAACATACCTTTAACAAGCTACCCTTAATCATGAGTGATGAACAACCAGTCAAATCACAACCGAACTTGACTCTGATACCATGTTAAGACTCGGAGTTCCATCCTAAAAGGTCCATCCATAAATATGGCATTCTTAATACATGTGGCATTTCCCCCGGTGACCGAAGGTGGTGGTGCTAGGGCGGCAGAGGCGGTTTTTTTTTTTTTTTTTTTTGTGTTTTTTAGTTTTTTAAAGAAATTATTATTTTTAAATTAGATGTCTTTCTCATCGCCAGTACTGCCTCCCTGCACCACCACCTCCAACCGATGTAAAAATGTCTTTTTTTTTGGCAAAAAAATGTCATTTTTTTTTTCTAAAAACCACCATTTTGTTGTTATTTTTTGTAAATGCCAAAAAATGGCATATTACTCTTTGAGAGTGCCAACAGTTTCATTGTTTCTGCCATAAATATGGCTTTCGTAATGGATGTGGTATTTTATCCCCTGGTGACTTGAGGTGGTGGTGGGGCGGCAGAGGAGACAATGATTGTTTCTTTTTGCATTTTTTAATTTTTTAATTTAAAAACTAAATAAATTATTATTTAAATATTTTTTATTATTTTTTAGTACTCCCTCCATCCCTTAAAACTTTGTCATCTTTCCTTTTTGGGATGTCCCAAAAAACTTTCATCTCCACAATTTCCTTTTCAATCAATTATTTTGTGGTTTCTGTTATTTCTATCTCCTCTGCACAAACCTCATGCACACTGTTTTTACTTTATTATTCTCCGTGCCGGTCAACTTTGACAAAGTTTTAAGGGACAGAGGTAATATTATTTATGAATTTTGATTATTTTTGATTATTCTATTATGAATTAAAACATCTCAATAGCAACAAGGGTATATTTGTCCAACACACACATAATTAGTTCTATCAAAACATATTTTACTTTTTGGTCCTATTTGTGCAAACTGACAAACTTTTAGTCCTATTTGATAATTAACCCTAATAAATATGAAAGTAGTTTTTGAGTTGGTGATGAATATGGGCTTCTCAACAAGAAGTACCTGCAATAACAATTGATTATATTACACGTACGATACAAAAATCAGATACTAGGTTATTGATGGTGCATATTTTACACACACACACACACACATATATATATATATATATATATACACATATACATATATAGGGATGTACTAGACTTGATGAAGAACATGCTCAAGAAATTTCATCGAAAAATTCCACCGGGAAGGCCCTCAAAACGTGAAGGCCACACGGCGGCTCCGGTAAGGTATACCTTACTGGACGATTTTCCTACATATATATATATATATATATATATATATATATATATATAGAGAGAGAGAGAGAGAGAGAGAGAGAGTATGGATCAATAAAAAGTGCTTCCTAGGTGAAAAATAAGAACTAATCTTGGCCATTGATGTGAAAAAATGGATGGAAGAGATCAAATTTTAAGTGAAAATCGCGGTGGCATTTTGGTAATTATGAAGAACTTTTATTGAAAATATTGTGACAAATGTGTATCAGAATAGTCAAAAAGTGCAAACGTAGAGCACAAAAGTGCAATACAGTACAAAATAAAAAGTGCAGAAATTAGAAAATTTTGAGAAGCTTTTTTAACACGCATGAGTGCACTTTTAATCAGTAACTATCCACTTTATAGTATAAGTATTTGCACATTTTTTAAAATTGTCTCTTGTGTTTAAAGTTCATCTAATCCATCTATTTTCAAGTGATCAAAGGCCAAGATAGATATATATATATATATATATATATATATATATATATATATATATATATATATATATAGGGAGCGGTTCCGGTAAGAACAAAACTTAGGAGAAAAATGAGAACGAATCTGGACCGTTGGATTGTATTATGTGGAACCAAATTGTGCATTTGGTGAAAATGAAATGAAATAATTACATAAATATGACCAAAATAAAGATGATTTACAAAAATATGATTATTGACTAGAGTAGTAATGAAATCATAGTAATTCATGTTCAAGTTTTGAGCTTAAGTTACCACAACACCACATTGTAGTAATGAATAGTCATATTTATGTAAATATGTTTTATTTTAGTAATATTCTTATAAAAAACCCAAATGAAATGTGCATTAAATGATATTGAAATGTGCAAAATAAAAATTTAAACTCAAGTGTGCATTAGATCAAACTGATATGTGCGAAAAAAAAGTACAAAAACAACAACACATCGTACTTTTTATTCTGCACATTTAAGCTTCACCTAGTGCACATTTCAATTTCACGTAATGCACAATTCAACTGCACATAATGTCACTCTATCGTACCCTTTGTGATGCACATTTCAATTTCACCTAATGCACATTATAGTTTCATTTAATGCACACTGAATTTCACTTGAAGCAAATCTAACGGTCCAGATTCGTTCTCATTTCTCTCATAAGATCGTGTTCTTATTTGAACCAAAACATATATATATATATATATATATATATATAGAGAGAGAGAGAGAGAGAGAGAGAGAGAGAGAGAGAGAGAGAGGAAACTTCATGTCAGGCCGGCCTGACGGGCTGCTCCGTCCGCCCGAGCCCGTTTGGGCACCTTCCCGGTGGAATTTTTTGATGAAATTTTTTGAGCATGTTCCTCATCAAGTCGAGTTTGTTCATACCAAATTTCAGCTCAAAATTCGATCGGGAAGGCATTCAAATTATTTTTTGAAGTTGACTGCAGTTTTATATGTATATTTTGACGCAGTCAACTTCAAAAAATGATTTGAATGCCTTCCCGATCGACTTTTGAGCTGAGATTTGGTATGGATAAACTAGACTTGATGAGGAACATGCTCAAAAAATTTCATCAAAAAATTCCACCGGGAAGGTGCCCAAACGGGCTCGGCCGGACGGAGCAGCCCGTCAGGCTGGCCTGATGAGAAGAGCACTATATATATATATATATATATATATATATATATATATATATAGAGAGAGAGAGAGAGAGAGAGAGAGAGAGAGAGAGAGAGAGAGAGAGGAATGATCCTGTCCAGCAGCCCCCGGTCCGAACAGTGTCCGAACATGGCCATTTGGGGCACTGCCCGGTGGAATTTTTTGATGAACTTTTTTGAGCATGTTCTTCATCAAGTCTAGTTTGTTCATACCAAATTTCAGCTCAAAATTCGTTCGGGAAGGCATTCAAATCATTTTTTGAAGTTGACTGCGTTTTTATATGTATATTTTGATGCAGTCAACTTCAAAAAATGATTTGAATGCCTTCCCGAATGAATTTTGAGCTGAAATTTGGTATGGATAAACTAGACTTGATGAGTAACATGCTCAAAACATTTCATCAAAAAATTCCATCGGGAAGTGCCCCAAATGGCTATGTTCGGACACTGTTCGGACCGGGGGCTGCTGGACAGGATCATTTCTCTCTCTCTCTCTCTCTCTCTCTCTCTCTATATATATATATATATATATATATATATATATATATATATATATATAGAAATGCTCAGGTCCCTCCGGAGGGACGGGAGAAGCCGTCCGAACTTCACTGTTTGGGGCGGTTCCCGATGGAATTTTTCGATGAATTTTTTTGAGCATGTTCCTCATCGAGTATAGTTTGTCCATACCAAATTTCAGCTCAAAATTCGACTGGGAAGGCAGTCAAATAAATTCTTGAAGCTTACTGCTCAAAAAATTTCATCGAAAAATTCCACCGGGAACCGCCCCAAACAGTAAAGTTCGGACGGCTGCTCCCGTCCCTCCGGCTGGACCTGAACAGTCCTATATATATATATATATATATATATATATATATATATATATATATACACACACACACACACACACACACACACACACTCCCTCCGTCCCATTTTACCTGTCCTACTTTCCTTTTTGGGTTGTCCCAAAATAAGTGTCTTCTTTCCTTTTTTGGAAAGAAATATGTGGTCTACACCATTTCACTTTATTATACTCAAATCTCAACCACAACTTTTACTTTTTCAACCACTTCATTAATAACCGTGCCGAGTCAAACTAAGACACATAAAATGGGACAGAGGTAGTATATATTAGTCCGGAAGGCAAACCACCCACCGGTGGGGTAAATGCCGGGCAGCATATTTACCAAGTTTTATTAAAATTGAGAAAAGTACAATGCGAGAGGGGGACCAGACCAAAATCTCTCCGGTAGAAGCATTCCTCCAAGAAATACATCAAGAAAGAAAATAAAACAATATTGGGTGGGACCAAACCTAACCCAATAATACATTCAGTATATACATCTAAAAGAAGGAAGGGTAATTCTATACACAGCCACACAATTACTAATCACAGCCACAAATTAAAAATAAATAAATAAATATTCTTTAGTTGTCTATTTTACCCCTACGGTCTATACGCAATTACGCACAACTCAATATTTCTCTCCTAGCAAATGGGAAAATAACTGCACAAGGATAATACGAAGTACAGTGTAATTCGCCCAATTCCCAATCCAGGGATTTGTCAATAACTCAAGAGATTTTCTGAGGTAATCGACAACAACAGAAATGGCACCGGCAATGGGACACACAACTCTTTAATTCATCGGCTCTCTATACGCACAACCCCTTCATCTTTGAGAAGATTTCTCCCCTATATTTGTGTTCGCACTTCGCAGCAGGACGACGCAGCACGACAATGGTTCCACAAACCCCAATAACCAAATCGGCGGCTGCAACCCAAACTGGTGGGTTAGCTCGGCGACAAAGCTCCTGTGCTGACAATGTAAGTCAGCGACAGTGCTTTGGATGGCGAGAGTCCTCCAGGCCAACGAAAATCAGCAGGTTAGCACTCAGCACAAGCAGCCTCTCTCAGACTGGGCACTTTAGTCGACATGGATGGTCGGACGGTGCTTTGCCTATCCCAACTCGGATGGAAGAAACTCCTAGGACGAACGGGCTGTGTGTAGAGACGGATGAATTAATCGGGGGGGTAAAATAGATACTTAAAAAATATTAATTAATTTAATTTTAATTTGTGGCTGTGTCTAGCAATTGTGGGGCTGTGTATAGAATTACCCAAGAAGGAATTCTAAACAAATCCATAAAATAGGCCTGACGGGCCATGCTAGGCAGATGCTTAGGCCTTGAGAAGTATAGAAGTTGGGCCGATGCACTGCTTGCCAGGTGATGGGCTACGGTATTGCACTCTCTCCAGGTATGTCCCAACAAAGGACATGTTTCCTTTTTCTTATCTCTAACATTTCCTGAATTATACCTCTCCATCTTCCTTCAGCCGATTGTTCGAAGTATCTAAGCGCCTGAGTTGCGTCTGTCTCCACCGCCCAACGAGTAGCAACGACCATTGTCAAGATCTCTGCTTCAAGACTGGACGAAGCATCAAGTGGAAAGGATATGGCCCCTACGAGCTCACCATCCCCATTCCTCAGAACCGCTCCTCCTCCTGCTCTGTCAGGTAAATATCTCGCATCTGTGTTCAATTTGAGATTATTTGAAGGCTGATTCCATCGAATAGCTCTTATCTGTGTGCCAGTAATTTTAAATTTTTTAGGAATGAGTTGTTCCTCAAACAAAACCTCCCCCACCGACCGCACCCTCAGTCCAGATAAGCTTGCAGTCCAAGTCTGAGTGAACATTTTAATTTGACAAATAATGGATTCTGAAGTTGGGCGTTTGCTCTGAGTACCCCATATGAGCCCTGCATAATTTTTCCAAATATACCAGCTGATAATACCAGGCAAATTATGCTTAAAAATATCAACCAAAGTTTTACTTCCTGCTTTCAGCCACCGGCCCATGTATACCTGACGAACAGAGCTGATATGACTCACCCTAGGTATACCCAGCCTATCCATAAAATAGAGCCACACAGGATTAACCACCTCACAACTAAATAATAAGTGATCCATAGAACCCTCATGATTTTTACATAAAGGGCAGATAGATGGATTTAAGACCTGTTGAAACCTCTTAATCTTATCTGTAACTGGAAGAATTCCTTGCAGGACTTTCCATTGAAATACCTTGATTTTCATAGGCAGCTTGGGATGCCAAGCATGTTTAAATGAAAGCATACTTGGTTGCTCCTCTCTAACAATATCATATGCAGATTTAAATGAAAATTTTCCATCTTCTTCAGGCTGCCAAATCAGAAAACCCTCCTGAGTAACATCACAGTAAGCGCTTGCCATAGGATGTATATTGCATATTCTCCACCAAATTGGAGAATCTGTAATTTTAGTGGACATATTTAGCCCTCTTGGATATCTGGAATTGAAGAAATTATTCCATAAAGTGTCACCATTCCTCCATCTCCACCAAAGTTTAATAGAAAAGGCTTTCTCTAAGTGTAACAGATTTCTGAAACCCAGCCCCCCTTCTTTAGTGGGCATACAAAGCTTATTCCAAGACATCCAATGATAGTGATCCTTTTCATTAGTTGAACCCCAGAAAACATTAGCCATTTTCTTGTGAAGAATAGAAATGACCTTTTTCGGAAATGTATCCACAGCAAGGATATGAAGAGGAATTGCACTTAAAACATGTTTTATAAGAATAATTCTGCCAGCTTGAGATAGATTTTTCATCTTCCAAGGTGTTAACTTAGAATCAAATTGTCTAATGATACCTTCACAATAATGATATCTATTGATACCTTTATGTAATTTAATGCCCATGTATTTCATAGGAAGGCCAGTGGACTCCATTCCCAAGATTCTCTGGATGCTCCTTAATCTAGATCTTGCTGATTGGCCATAAATGAATGAGCTTTTTTGCAAGTTAACAACTTGGCCAGAAGCAGACTGGTAAGCTTTAACAAAGGTAATGAAATTCTTCAAAGACCTGGCTTCCCTATTTAGAAAGATAAGGAGATCATCTGCAAATCCAAGATGAGATATAGGGTAACCTATATTACCCATCCAGTAGGGTTTAATAAGACCCAACTCCATTTGTTTCTTCAGACCCCTAGAAAATGCTTCAGATGCCAAGATGAACAGAAAAGGGGAGAGGGGGTCACCCTGCTTGACCCCCCTCTTGGGTTTAAAGAAACCCTGAGGGATCCCATTAATAAGTATAGAGAAAAAAGTAGCTTCCAAGTTGTTCATCACAATTTTAATAAATGACTGAGCAAAACCAAATCTGTCAAGGATCTCCTGCAAAAACCTCCAAGAAAGTCTATCAAATGCCTTAGCCATATCTAATTTTACTATAACATTAGACCCTCTGATCTTTTTGTCAATGGAGTGGACCATTTCCTGGGCAATAAGAACCTGTTCTGAGATATCTCTATTTTTCATAAATCCAGCTTGTTCAGCTGAAATAATTTTAGGAAGAATAGTTATCAGTCTGCCTGTTACCACTTTAGTGCAAACCTTATTGATGAAATTGGATAGGCAAATTGGCCTAAAATCTGCAAAGGAGGCAGGATTATCAACTTTAGGTATGAGTGCAATTAAACTGCTAGCCATTCCTTTAGGTATAGGAATACCCATATAGAATTCCTGAACAGCTCGAACTACATCTGGGCCCACATTCTCCAAACATTTTTTGAAAAAATTGCCATTGTAGCCATCTGGACCTGGTGCTCCATTCTGATTTAACCCCCAAACTGCCTCTTTTACTTCTTCAGTAGTAGGTAATTGCATGAGCATTGCATTGTCATTAGGGATGGCAACGGGGCGGTTCGGGGTCGGGTATACCATTACCCGTACCCGCCCCGTTTGATAAAAAAATTCCCCGAAACCGCCCCGTTACCCGTCGGGTATTTTTTACCCGCGGGTAACGGTTTTCCCCCGCGGGTAACGGTTTCCCCGCGGGTAACCGTTTTATTAAAAAATAATTTTTTTCCTTCATAGATCCTAAAATGATTATTAACTACTTATCATTGACCACCTAAATTAAAAAAAATTAAAATTAAATAGTACCACAGATAAAGTTTTTTAAAACATGACAAAAAGTTACAATCGTTTGAATCTAATATTCACAAATTATATATGTCTAGATTCAAATTGAATCTCTTACCACATCAACATCAAAAGAGTAAGTCTTGTCTCGATAGTAAAAACTAAATATGAATCAAAAAACATTTAACTTCCAAACATTCAATAAGCATACCCCCACCAACATTCAACATCTAAATTAATTTAAGAACAATAATGTATACAAGTAACATAATGAAAATGAGAAGTTTTTCCCCTAAAATACCTCTAATAAAAAAGATATGAACATAAATATGACTATAAGTTACCATGAGTAAGTTTTGTAATCACTACGACATAACATTTGAATAAAATTATAAACACTAAAGTTACTAGAGTCGCATTTTTGTCCACAACTTTTATTTTGATTATAGATTTGGAATTATTTAAAAGGCACTTCTAATACTTTGATTTAGGTATTCTTGTAGTTACTGTTTTAGAAGAAAAAAAACATAATTTAAATTTTAAAACTTGATATAAATTAGAGCAACCAATCAAAATTAATCTAATCATCCAATACACCTTTACAAAATTATTAGCAATTACATAAATTAAAGCAAGCTAGAGTAATGTTTCGCAATATTTTGACTTTAAACTCATACGTGAGTTTTATGAAAGTTATTGGGTGAAAAACTAAGAGAGTCACAATGTGGAAATTGCGTAAAGAAAGTCACGAAAATCAAATAACCAATATGTGAAGAAAATAAATATTGTAGAGGTTTTTTTGAAGGAATATTATAGAAGTTAACAAAGGAAGGATGATGAATGATATTGAAAATTTAAAATCTGAAATAGTGAACTTTGAGCACCAACTCGATCATCAGAATTGCAAAGGATAGCCGATAAGTTGAATATTGTTTCAAAGTACTAGAGAGAATAAGTGTCATATACTAATGTACTAATATTCATATATACTTAATATATTAAATAATAAATACATAAACTATTAAAATATATAAGTTAATTGTGCGGGTCGGGTAATGGTGCGGGTAACCGTATCCAAATTAAACGGGGCGGGTAACGGGGCGGGTAGGTATAAACCCATAACCGCCCCATTACCCGTTTACATAAATCGGGTATTCCCCGCCCCGTACCCGTTACCCAGTCAAAACGGTTTTCCCCATTTTGACCGGTTCGGTTCGGTGCGGGTATCCATCGGGTCGGGTTAAATTGCCATCCCTAATTGTCATGTGCATCAACTAACCTCGGAATGTATTGCAGGACACTTTCAAGTTCAATTTGCTCTTCCACAGAATAAAGGTTTGAGAAAAAAGAGACAGCAGCTTCTCCCATTTCTGTTAAAGAATTAACCATGTTCCCATCACTATCTTGGATAGAGGTAATTTGTTGCTTCTTGTGTCTTATTTTAACATAAGAGTGATAAAACTTGGAATTTGAGTCCCCCCTTTTCAACCAGTGTATATGAGCCTTCTGCTTCCAAAATTTTCTCTCTAAACCATATTTGGATTTAAGCAGAGCTTTGTAATGGAACCAATTCTCTCTATTAGAATCACAAGGATCAATCTCAAATTCTTTCTCAGGCTGTATTACTTTATCTTCACAACTCGTAATTTCATCAAAGATATTCCCGAAAATTGTTTTGTTCCAAACCTTGAGATCCTGTTTTAGGCTTTTGAGTTTGGTCACTAATCCTCTCATACCTCCTCCATAAGGGGTCTTATACCAGCTGTTCTTCACTGTCTCCATAAAAGAATGATGAGAGAGCCAAATATTTTGAAATTTAAAAGACTTGGGTCCTTGGAGTATAGATTTTTTGCATTGTACCAGAATTGGACTATGATCAGAGGGAGTTCTATCCAATATATTAATCTGCACAGTATCAAAACAGTCCAAAAATTTAGCATTGACCAAGGCCCTATCCAGTCTCCTCCAAACCCATCCATTGGATCTAATTCCAGCCCAAGTGAACTGAGGCCCCTGATATGGCAAGTCAATTAAATCACTAGACGCGATACAATTAGAAAAATCCAGCATGTTGTCCAAATTAGGAATGTCAGACCCTTGATGCTCACTATGCTGAGTAATGGCGTTGAAATCCCCCCCAATCAACCATGGTTCAGCCAAATTAGAAGCAAAATTAGAGATAAATGACCACATTTCCCTCCTAGTAATGTAGTTATGTTTGCCCTAAATAGCGGTCATCCAACCAGAGTATAGGTTTCCGTGAACATGAAAATTCACCAACTGACTATGCCAAGTAAAGTCAGTCAGATGAAAGGAATCCGGATCCCAAAAGACCCAAATTTTATTAATAATAGAGAATTGCACCTCTTTAAAACCCAATTCTTGTTTAAAGTAATCCGCTCTTGAACTTTGAACAATGGGCTCAATGACCCATAAAATTTTTATCTGATATTGTCTAACTAGGGAGCAGAGTCTGGCTAGTGAGACTTCTAGACCCCTGACATTCCATAGTAGACAATTCATTAAGAATTAATAGTGGAATCTAAGGACAGCTTCTTGTTGATAGAGATATCTTCAAGAGCTGAAAAACCAGCCTGCTTATTCTTCTTAGCTGCATTCCTTGTCATTCTAACATTATTATCAATCTGGACCTTCTGTTTATTTTTCTTACCAGTAACTGTAATAAAATCATCACAATCCTCTTCAATACCACTTTGGTTTTCAGGCTGACATGTTACAGGTAGAGAGCTGACCACTGGTTGACCATTGGCTGACAATGCTGCATCCCTATCCATGCCAGATGCCTCAGTCTGCATTACGGCCTGACTGTGTTGCTGAACCTCCTGTCCCACTGATTGGTTTGCCACAGAATGATGTTGGGACTCCTTCCCCTCACTCACACCTACAGAGATTTCTTGTGAAGCTATTTTTTTTGCCATAACATCCACTTTGGCTCCGATTTCATCCCAACCATCTTTCCAATTCTGGATTGGCTGTAGTTTCCTTGTGATTTTCTCATCAGACAAAGTCTTCTTGGACTCCAACTCAGAGTCATAATCTAATAATTTGTTCAACATATGTACCTGAAAGTCATCCTGAATCAATTTTGTCATAGTGGCATTAGGCTTTCCCACCCCTGGAATATCCAACTGTAACATGGTTTGCAATTCTTTGTCATCTGCAGGATTATATTTGGCAGGGGTCTCAGGAGTCAAAGAAGCGTCACTCCCAAGGATTTCAATAGCTCCTGAATTGGAAGTAGATTGAAAATCATTGATAGGCTCATGTTCTGTAATAATCCCTTTTGCTTTCTCTTAGTTAAAAATTTAACTTGTTTAGGTTGGTCACCCTTAATTTTTGGCATCCATTGCTGCTTAGGCAAAGTCAATGTTTTGACTTCCTCATTATTTAGTTTCGGACATTTAGATTGCAAATGCCCCAAGTGCAAACAATGTGAGCAATAATCTGGCCGTTCCTCATATATTATATTCTGTATGAAACCATATGATGAACCACAATTGATCCACACCCTTTGAGGCATTTCCTTCGTGAGATCCAGCTCAACACAAATTCTAGCCAACGACGGCCTAGACAGATTTGCTGTAGCAGTGTCAATTTTCAGGGGCTTTCCAATTAATCCAGCAATGTCAAACAATGCCCTCTTGTCCTGCAAATGAAGTGGAAGGCCCTCAAGCGCAATCCACACCGGAACAATAGGAGACTCGACATTAGGGCGAAAGTCCGGAGTCCATTTTGTTACACGCATCACACACCCTTGAATTATCCATTCTTGTCTATTCCAACAACGGAAATAGTCTTCCTCAGAATCAAACCGAATGACAATATGCTTACGTTCAAGAACTCCCAAATGAAAAGTGCCTTTAAAACCAATAATCTCGAATGCCTTATGTATACTCACTAGGCTAGGCCTTCCTCGGTAGGAGTATCCAATCAATGAACGTCGATGCCTTTCAGCCAAGATTTGAATATCGCTATCTGGAAAACTGAGTGAAAGCAAACCCTTGTGCCAAGAATGAATTTTGGTGGATAGCGGCGCATTGGTGCGATTAGCCACCACGTCAGTGAAGGATCTGGCCGCCCAAGCGTTGGGAGGAGGCGGCTGTGCCGCCGTCGCCAAGGGTAAAAATTTACTACGCAAAAGTAAACAATCGGATCTGAGGTTCTTACTATGAACGAAATTACAAGACATAAGAGGAACTTACATAACAATCTTAAGCAAGGATGTCAGACAGTCCGAGAAAACGATCCCGAGCTCTACCAGTATCTACACGCACGTGACTGGATCGGCCGCAGGGAACGTGCTAGCATTCTCTGGCATTCACAGACATAAAAACCTCTCACAGACACGGAAGTGTACTGATGTGTATATGAACGTGTACACCAAGAATTATCCAATTAAATTTCAGTCTTATTATTGTCTAATCATAAGTCTCAATTGTTTGTTCCGTCATTATTTCTTCCAACTTTTAGCATTAAAGTGTTTAATTTAAGCAAGCACTTACTTGAAAACATCAATTCCAGCCGATTTAAACAAAAAATTGAAAAGTAATTTTTGAAATAATTTACAAACATTTCCTAAATAAGTTGAAACCACATGTACCGTATATAAACAAAAAATTGTCTTGAATAAGAATAAATATAATGTGGACTTAATTGAACGTTTTTTAATAGTTCGAGGACTTAATTGAGTGTTTATAAAGTACGGGGGCCTAATCGACTTTTTCGGTATAGTACGGGGGCTTATTTGATAGTTTCCCATTAAATTATTAAGTTTGTTATCTATTTGTTGTGTTGTTATCCTCTTAGTTTGAAGGAGGAGGCTACTTAAATAGTAAGCTAACTAATCTTACTGAAACACTCATGGTTGTAGGTTTGATGGTCAGATAAGCTCGATGCAATTCAAGGTTGGGATTATATTGGATGAGGTGATAAGCTGTACCACAATAAAACATGAATTGTCGATGTGGAGTTTAAATGTACCAAGTGTATTCATCATTGTACTCTGATTTTAAAGTTCATCGTATGTGAGGTTGGATCTAAATAAATAGTGTTGAGTATTGTTCAAGGGTAGAATTAATGTTGTTAGAAAAAATGTGTAAAAATTTGTATCATTATATCTCCAAAAAACTATTTCGAACACCTAAAACTTGTGTATGTGTTAGTCTGCTAGATCAACCACTACAAATATCTACAAATATTTCGAACACATAACACATACCATTGGAATTTGGATACCTGCACATTTAAAAAACATGTACGGCTATTGTAAGAATGCTATATATATATGATGACGTTTTATGTAAATCGGGTTGTGGCTTTTTAATAGATATAAAACGGAATAAATACATAAATTAGTATGTTAATACATTTTAAACCTAAATAAATATAGAAATTTTGAGAGCAATGATTGTCCTAAATGGGTCAAAGTAGGGATGGGCGGACCAGTCCAGAAGTGGGTGCGGCACTGTTTGGACTGGACTAGGTTTAGAATTTCCAGTTTCGGGTCTGGTAGCGGCCCTGTCTGCCCAAGAGCATTTCATAATCTCGGTTCACTTATTTGGGGACCGGACGGGGTAGTTTTGTTCATGGATCGACCATTTTTTAAAGCTTGAAACCGAGTAAAAAAATATAATGGATCCGGGCCTGGGAGTCTGGGACAATCTTTAGAAAATGTGGGTGTTTTTCTATGACATCTTGAGTTTATACATGGACAGTTATATGTTGCAGTTTCGAGAGTGACGAGTCCGTTTGGCTTGACGACGAGGGAAATCAGAAAAAAGTGTTGTCTACAAAGAAGTTTTCAATAATTCGTAACTTGTGTGTTTATTAAATTTCGATTTTTTTTACATACTCCCTCCGTCCCGGTGGAATGTTCCCACTTTGACCCTCACACATTTTTATGCAAAAGTTATTTTACAGTTGACTTTCCCTAAATGCCCTCCCACCCCCCACACGTGCTGGCCAAAACCCGAAAAGAAAAAGAAGGGAAAGGGGGGTAAAAACAATCAAATAAATGGGGTAAAAACTTTATTAATGATGTGATTGTTCTACAAGGGCAGAAAGCTACCCTATACGTACGAATGCTTACAAAACCCTCCAAAAAATTGGAGGGTTAATGCTACAAGTACACCAAAAATTCAAAATTCCCTCCATTCCTTTTCTTTAAATGCCTACAACTACCTCATCTACCACATTTACTACACTCATGGATCTATCTTTGTCTCTCTTTGTCCGAAATGAGCCTCCTGCAGCTACCCCAACTCAGACTGCACCTTCTTCAACACCATTTGCAACTGCTACTCCTGCTGTACCTGAAGCACAAACAAATGAAGAAAGTGACACTGCAAGTCGCAGAACAAGTAAGCTAAGTAATGCAGAGAAAAGCAGTTTGGTGGAAATACTTTTAAGTCATTATCATAATGGGAAACTTCAGAGGGGCATTGTGGGAAAAACGGCTACACAGTTCAACTGTTCTAGGCGTACTGTGAACAAATTGTGGGTCCGATCTCATAGCCAACTGAATGATGGGGTCCCAATTAATGTTCAAAGCCAATTTAAGGGAAGTTTGGGAAGGAAGACAGTAGTTTTTGACATGGAGCAGTTAAAAGTCATTCCACTTCATAAGAGAAAGAACATCCGGTCTTTGGGTTATGCCCTTAACATCTCAAAGAGTTCTGTGCACAGATTAGTCAAAGCTAAGCAAATAAAGAGACATTCCAATGCCATAAAGCCATTCCTCACACATGCTGGTAAAATCAAGAGGTTACAGTTCTGCCTTTCTCATGTAGTGCCTAGGCCTATGCCCTTAAACTCCACATTTCATCATTTCTTTGATCATATTCACATAGATGAGAAGTGGTTTTTTTTATCCCCTAAAACTATTGTTGAATTAACTGAAGCTGTGACAAATGCTTTTCATGAGCTCACACCTTATACTTTGAACAAAGTGTTTTTAAGTTATCAGTGTGTGATGGAACAAATAATGATGCACAAGGGTGGAAATCATTTTAAGCTAAAACATGTTGGTAAGGATAAGCTTGACAGACAGGGGATGTTGCCAGAGAATATGGAAATCAATCCACGTTTGGTGGATGAAGCTAGGCAGAATCTCATTGAGATGCAAACACAAGGGGAAGAATCACAAGAGATGCGGGGAAGTGAATCTCAGTTCATAACTGATGATGAGGCTCATCATCAAGAATGAACTGGGTAAGGACATGTTTTTTGTATGTAGGGAAGTGTACAATTTTTTTTATGTACACTACTACTATTGGACAGCTTTTTTGTATGTACACTTTCAAAGGAACATCTTTACATGTAGGGGAAGTGTACAATTTATGTATGTACTGCCATGCATGCCTAGCCTACAATATCAGTGTAGTTTATTTTTTTGCTAATGTTGTTGTACACTTATTGGCAGACATGTGTGCTATGAGGTCAATGGTAAAAATCTAACTCACACAAATGCACCATCTAACTCACACAATTAATCATCATTTGTAGTTAAGGGACATATGAAGTGCAAGCAGGTAGACATAGGAGTCAGAAAGCACATATACAAACACATAGCCTCCTACACTTAACCAAAGTGGGTGGCATATGCAGTTAAGGGACATTTGAAGTGCAAGCAAGTAGACATAGGAGTCAGAAAGCACATATACAAACACATAGCCTCCTACACTTATTCAAAGTGGGTGGCACATGTAGTTAAGGCAACAACACATAAATTGGCTTTAAATGTGGGACCATCATCAGTTTACTCATTCAGTAACCACACAAACCCCATCATCATCAGTAGAAGCAGTAAGCTAAGCACACAAAGGGCAAGTACTCTAAGTGCAGTGCCTCAGATTAGTGTAAGTTGAGCCCTATCATCATTAGCAAATAGCACAAATACAAACACATAGCCTCCTACACTTATCAAAGAGGGTGGCACATGTAGTTAAGGCAACAACACGTAAATTGGCTTTAAATGTGGGACCATCATCAGTTTACTCATTCAGTAACCACACAACCCCCATCATCATCATCAGTAGAAGCAGTAAGCTAAGCATACAAAGGGCAAGTACTCTAAGTGCAGTGCCTCAGATTAGTGTAAGTTGAGCCCTATCATCATTAGCAAAGACCACAAATATAAAGACATAGCCTCCTACACTTATTCAAAGTAGGTGGCATATGCAGTTTGGCATATTCATAGTTAAGGCTCACACAGTAAGGTCAACAACACAATGAGACTCATGCAGAAACAGTAATTAAGAAAAAAGCTAAGTAATTTCATCATTTGTCAGATTAATTAGCCAATAAGCACAATTTCAGATTCGAATTGGGCAAAAACCATACGCAATACACATACTGTAGGATTACATAGACTTCCCTTAAGGAGTGTCCCGAAATACATCCGCATAGGGATCTGGAAACATGCAGTCGAAGGAGTTAACCTCCTCGCCTTCTTCAATTGATTCTTGAGACTCAGCGCACTGAGATCCATACCACTTCCGCAGCTTCCAACCTGGATCGGTGTCCGATGATGTTGTCCACCCATATGCATGGTCAGATTCTTCATTGTCGTCAGTGTATTCGAGGGGAACAATTTGAGAATGGGTGACCGATCCTTTTTCAGAACCACAGGGGCTAGGGTTTGTTACAGGTGGGTGGCCATCGGAAATGGTTAGCCGTTTGGACTCTGATTTCGAAGGTGACACAGAAACGGGTTGTTCATCTGCGGGAGGTGTAGGGTTGGTGGAGGATTCCATGCCCTTAAGCCAGAAGAAGATGTTCGAGAGAGAGAGAGAACGCGAGTGGGGAAGGTGAGTGGCGAGAGTAAATGTGGCCGGATAAAGTGGGGAAGGTGGGTTGGGAGAGTTATTGGGGTGCGGTGATTTATTTTTGGGAAAGAAGGGTAAATAAATGGGATGGGTAGATTAGGCATTTCATATAGAAATTCCTTCCATTTATGGAAATGGTAACTTTCCAGTGGGACGTCCAAAAAAGGAAACCGGGAACTTTCCAGTGGGACGGAGGGAGTATATACTAATGATTACTCTCATTCGTGATAAATTATAATATAATCTTTAATTATAGTGATTATTTCTTTTGTTGGGGCCTAAATGTAAATAGTAAAACAGAATTCAGTAATACATATAGGATGCTAACGTTACCATACTGAAGGTAACGGTACCTTGATAAATTAACTAATTGAATACGCGAAAAAGAGAAATTTAGGCGGAAATGTTTCCACTTCAGTGCGGCGGCAACCCCAAGCAGCTGCTCTCTTTCGCTCTCAGTCGAACACTGACTCTGCCTCTGCAACGATTGTCCTCTACGCTGACACGTAAAGCTTCCACCGATGTGTATAATCTCTGTGAATTTCCGAAAACGTTTAACACTCCATTGAAATGTTTGAATTCAGGCGTTTCGAGGGAAGAAGAGAACTATAGGGATTCGACTAACAGAAAACACACATTTGTTCACCCATCTGCGATTGTCCACCCCAGTGCCATCCTTGGAGAGGTACAACTCTTTGTTTTATGTACGGAGTATTAGATAACTGCGTTCCAAATGGAGTCCATCTTTTGTAACAGCTTGTTAGGTTAGCATTATTCATTCATTTTGATGCGCAGGACTCCATCTTTAAAATAGCTTAGCATTTATGGTCATTTAAGTTTTTCTATCCGTCTGATTGATGTATTACTTATTTGTGTTCTTATCCATGGATGATGGATATCATCATATCAAATCTGGTTTTCAATTTTTAAACTCAAAAACAAACCCGTAGAGAGAAAGGTGTTGTGGATTAAAAGCCACATCAATGGAAAGCCTGGCCTTAGGTTGTTTGATTAGGCACTTAGGCCAAACTTAACTTTGCCACTCCAATGTCATTTATAGTGTTTTTGGCACGGATGGTATAACATGTGTTCTACGCTTGTAGGGTGTGGTGGTTGGTCCCCTTTGTACCATTGGTGCTTTGGTGAAGTTAGGGAATGTTTGCCAGCTATACCCTGGGAGCCACATATTTGGAAACACTATTATCGGGGAGAATTGTACTTTGATGACGTACATACAATATATACAAGATCAAATGAGAACAATGGTTAACGTGAGAACACACATTTACCCCAACTCGATGCACAATGTCACTTGCCCATTGCACTATTAGCAATTAGGCATAATATTTACCAAAGTGCCGTCCTCAATTATTTGATATTGGTTTGAGTTGAGCAAAGTTAAAAAGTGCATTAGACGGCCTCCATCATGCATCACATCGAGTTAAATGTGTGTTCTAACGTTCTTACGTTAAACATTGTTCTCATTGAAGCTGCACCCTATATATATACTTACCTGTATAGGCATAGGGGACGATTCCGGTAAAAGCAGGGCTTAACGTGCGAACGTTTAAACACAACACTTTTAGTCTAATTTGATGCACTTTTTAAACTTTGTTCAAAACATGTAAATATCATAAAATGTGGTGGTAGTTTCATAAATATTCCGCCACAGTGAAAAAAGTGGAACATACAAACTTTATAGTGCATTACATGGGATTAACAGTGCCATTCGCACCGTTCTTACTTTAAGCAATGTTCTTGTTTGATCCTAAATTTACCAGTATAAATATATAGATAAGAGATCAAATACAAACCATGCTTAAAATTTTAACCTAGAAAGTCAATAATATGCAACACTTTAAACTTCAGTATGCAATACAAATAATGTAAAGATGCACACTGTGAACTTCAATATGCAATACAAATAGTATGCAACACTTTGAACTTCAATATGCAATACCAATAATATGAAACACTTTGAAGTTCATATGCAATACAAATAATGTAAAGATGCACAGTTTGTGAGAGTTTGTAGGTTAGCATGAGAGGATTAGTTTGTGTGTATATATATATATATATATATATATATATATATATAAGGGCGAGTTCAAGTAAAAAGTAGTCTTCCCATGCAAAATGAAAATAAATCTTGTCCTTTAATCATTTGCAAATTGATGGATTAGATGAACT